TCCCCATGTGGCTCATACAGAGCATCCCAGTCAGTGGCCTCCAGTGCTCCGCGCAGTGTTTCCATGGCCTCAGGGGACCATTTCCTCACTGTCCTCACTGTGACCGGGTGCTGCTGAACCACAGGCTTGTATGATGGTGAGAGCTGGACTAGGTTGTGGTCTGACCTGCCCAGTGGTGGCAGGGCAGTGGAGCTGTACACATCTTTAACATTTGTGTACAGCAGGTCCAAGGTCTTACTGGTAGAAGGTGTGTAGATGAAAGAGTGTAGATGAGAGAGAAACGTGGTTGAAGTCCCCTGTGATGATGATGAAGGCCCCAGGGTGTTTCGTTTGTAGTTCAATTCAATTCAATTCAATTTTATTTGTATAGCGCCAATTCATAACAGAAGTTATCTCAGGACACTTTTCAAATAGAGCAGGTCTAGACCGAAGTCTTTAAAACATTAATTACAGAGACCCAACAGTACCACCATGAGCAAGCACTTGGCGACAAGGGCAAGGAAAAACTGCCTGTTAAAAGGCAGAAACCTAGGACAGATCCTTTGGCTCTAGGTGGGTGGTCGTCTGTCTCGACCAGTTGGGGTGAGAGAGAGAGAGACAGAGAGAGAGAGACAGAGAGAGAGAGAGAGTGAGAGACAGACAGACAGACAGGTGCACAGCAACAACAGTATTGGCAATGGCAATCTAGCAGGACCATGGCAGGAGGCTCCACCAGGATCGATAAGAACCTGCGAGACAAGAAAGCACAAGAACTCCGGGGAAGAAGTGAAGTTAGTAACATGCATTAATGGAACATGAATGAGTGCAGAAAGAGAGAGGAAGGGAGGAGCTCAGTGCACCATGGGAAATCCCCCGATAGTCTAGGCCTATAGCAGCATAACTAAGGGATGTAGTGCTGCAGTCACAGTGTGGATGACGTCACACGCTGCTTCTGCTTTCCCAGACGGAGGAATATAGACAGAAGAGGCAAATAAAATATAAAATTGCCATCTCCTCTTAAGCTCCTCCGGTATGGTGGGTCTCTCTCTGGCCAAGAGGCTTGGGTGCCTCAGGACAATCAGCTGGTCGCGGGTGTAAACAATGCCTGCGGTGTTGCAGGCATGGCTCCCAGTCATCCGGAAAGACCAAAGTGCAATAAAGAGTGGTAAGAAGTGCCCAAACCACTGAGAAAAGCATCTCCACATAGTGTGGTGCGAAGATGCACAGAGCAATGTACAAATAAAGATAAAAAAAACAAGCTACAAAACAACTAAAAACACTAAAAACCGACAGTAATACCGAGAGCTACTACAACAGGCTCCCGCTAGGACGGCCCCATTTTGCAAGATCAATTCCAACATAGATCCAACATGTGATCGATGCAGACAGGCTCCAGCTACTCTGTTGCACATGTTTTGGACATGCCCGAAGCTGTACACATTTTGGCAATCTATATTTGGGACCTTTACTAAGATATTAGAAGAGTAGTGCGACCGTCTCCTCTTATTGTACTGTTTGGGGTGACCCCAGCGGATACCCCTTTTAGATGGTGTGAAATCAGCATGTTGACCTTCTGCTCACCTTCACTGCTGTGGGAAACTGGGAAGGCCGTAATCAGAGGAAAAATCATATCATACTCTTCATACAGGAAAAAACAGCAACAACAATTGGAAAATACATTAGAACAAAAAATCAAACTCCTAACAAATGAAATATCCCGCCATCCCAGTGAACCAAAACAGAAGGAATTAAAGGAACTCAGAACACAACTTGATGACATTATACAGGAAAAAACACAAATTCAGCGACTGAAATATAATGGTTTTCAATACAGTAATAAAGCAAACAGTAAATATTTAGCAAATCTACAACACAAGAAAGAGAAATCAATCATCCCAGCCATCTTGGACTCCACAGGAAACATTATCAAAACCCACAGGATATAAATAACATATTTCAGAATTTCTACAGCAACCTCTATTCCCCCACTCACCAACCTACCCAATCAGAAATCGACACCTTCTTAAACAGTCTGACATTACCAAAATTAACTGCAGAACAAACCAACATTCTAGACACACCCCTTAGCCTTAATGAACTTACCAAAGCACTCAAGTCTCACGGACCAGATGGATTACCAGCCGCATTCTACCGACACTTTTGGGACATATTATCACCACTATTCAACAGAGTAATTATAGAAATAAAAACTTCCTCCACCATACCCACACACATGAATACAGCAGCCATGACATTACTGTTAAAACCCAACAATTCAAATCTTACTTTTTAATACTGACTTGAAAATTATCACCAAAGCACTAGCAACCAGTCACTCCCACACTCATTCATCCAGATCAGACAGGCTTCATAAAAAATAGACAAGCCACAGATAATGTCTGCAGACTTTTCAACCTATTCAATATATCACAAGAAAGACAACAGAAAACCATTATCATTTCACTTGATGCAGAAAAAGCTTTCGATAAGGTAAATTGGTAATTTTTATTCAATACACTTCACAAATTTGGTTTTGGAGAATCGTTCATCCACTGGATTAAAATACTGTACACATCATCCAGGGCCACCATCACCACTAACGGAATCACAGAGTTTCACACTGCATCAGGGCACCAGACAGGGATGCCCCCTCTCGCCTTCCCTCTTTGTCATTTTCATTGAACCTCTCGCAGCAGCAATACGACAAAACAGCATAATCAAAGGAATTCAGGTAGCCAACGTACAACACAAAATCAGTTTATATGCAGATGATCTTTTACTTTATTTACAGAACCCACAAGTATCACTTCAAGAAACGTTCAATATCATCAACAGATTCTCCCTTGTCTCACATTACACTTTCAACTGGAATAAGTAAATTTTACTACCCCTCTCAGATGATGCTTGGGATTCTGGATCCCAGGACACTTCCCTCCACCTTCACACAGGCAACATTAAGTACCTAGGGATTCAGATTTCCCCCAGGCTGTCAGAGCTTTTCACCCTCAACTACACTCCCCTCCTCAGGAAAATTGAAAACGAATACAAACACTGGTCTAAACTCCCACTCACTCATCGGAAGAATAGCTGCAGTCAAAATGAAAACCCTACCCCAGATTAACTACCTTTTTTCTATGATCCCCATCACTCCTACAGACAAATGGTTCAAAACTCTCAATTCATTAACAACACAATTTTATTGGAAAAACCAAAAACCCAGAATATCACTCACAACTCTACAAAATAAAAAATCACATGGGGGGCTTGAGGCACCAAACTTACATCACTACTTCGTGGCAAATCAATAACAGTACCTAGTTAAATGGATTAATATACACAAGCGCAATTACCCATGGCTGGAATTGGAACAAAACCAATGTACAAATATCTCGATTGCAGACCTCCCCTTTCTCTCACAATCAATCAAGAAATCCAACTTCTGCCAACACATTACCATCCATTCAACTCTGACAGCCTGGTGTAAAACGAACCAAATCACAAAATCATCACTAGAATTAAACAAGTTCACCCCACTCTGGCACAACCCAGTGTTCATGATACAGAACAAACCTTTTTATTTTGCCACATGGGCAAAAAAAGGAATCACACATCTTCACCACCTATTTGAGAACAACCATTTCATGTCATTTAACACACTCACACAGAAATATGGGGTTGGGAGAGAACAATTCCTTCAATATCAACAACTTAGACTTAAACTGGAAATCAAAGAAATCTTGCCACACATCAATCACTGGATAAATTAAATCTCAGAACACATTTCAATGGAAAAATACAATGCACACAGAAGGAGCCGTGTATATTACCAGACGCATACCTCCCTCTTCCGTTATGTAAAGTTTATTTATTTATTTATTTTCTTTATCTTTTCCCTTTTGTTTTTGCCCCTGCAAGTACCACGTTATACATACACATAGGCACACACTATCCACACTCATGCATAACATGATTGTCAACCCCTTTCTACACCCTAACCGTGACCACCTAATGTGAATCACAGATCATTCTACCCAATCATTAATAATATGCCCTTGTGTTTGTCAATTGTCTTGTCCAGTCACGTCTTGTCAGTTCTGATATCGTCCTGTATCATTTCCCTCTGTTGTCTGTTGTCTGTCTCTCACCTTGTCGCGTTGTATGTATGTGTCTATACGTGGTGCTATAATCCCCCCTCCCCTTATATGGATTCAGGGTCTCACCAGAACAGGGTGAATGGTAACGGTAGGACAAAAGTAAATGAACTGTATAAAAAAAAAAAGAAAAGATTAGATATACTGTCAGGGGAGCGACTAAGAAATTTTACAGAATTTGGCATTCTCGCAATATTACGACTTTATTCTCGCAATATTATGACTTTATTCTCGTAATGTTATGACTTTATTCTCGTAGACCTAATATTATGACTTTATTCTCGTGATTTCCCCCAAAAAATCTTCTCTCTTAGTCTGGCCCTAACACTCCGTTTGTATATTTGTATATATACTTCTAACAGCAAAATCAAATTTCTCCTGTTTATGTACATTATTACATTATTATTTCACACTTGCTTTGGAACTGTAAACATCTGATTCCCATGCCAATAAAGGCCCTATGAATATGAATATATTTTGTTAACCTGACCCCTTGGGGAACTCTTCTGATATTCATTGACTTTATATTTATATGTATTAATTTGGCAGTTGCTTTTGACCAACGCAATGTACAAATCAGGTAAAATCCAAGCCACAGCAGATCAAGGAGAAGCCTTTGAGAATAAGTGTCTCGACTCTCAGTTCATGTTGAATGTAGAACACACTGGTAAGATAACAATAAAAGGCTTAACATGTAAAATGTGTCTTGTAGGTAATGCTAGGAAAGGTCACAGAGTCATTCAAATTAAAAAGATTCATCCATCAGGAATCTGAATTGTGTATGAGTGTTTATCCAGAACCATAATATGTATTTAGGGTAACAAATTGTCAGATGTACACTGCTTTCTCTCTGTGTGTCAGAGGACTCACTGGGTTTCCTGTCTTTTTTCTCATTTGGCAGGTTGGCCATCTTCTTCTTCAGGTAATTCACTTTTTCAACCAATGACATGAGTCGACCTCGGATGGTGAAGTCACTGTCACCGTCTATGCCTCTCTCCTCATCCAACTCTATACCTGACACAATGGAAAAATCAGTATACAGTGCATACTGTATGTTTGCAATTAATGAATAAACAGAATACAGATATTATTGATCCATTTGGTTGACATTTTTATTGCAGGTGAAGCTGACTGGTAGTTTACCACAGTGTCTCATCAGATCCTCATGGAAGTCAAGCAGCTGTTCTCGAATGTATTCAGGACACGGACACTCCTGCTTCTCATCCTTAAAGTTCAGCAGCATGTTGATCTGTAGAAACACATGCGGGTGTACAAATCATTAAATACAAGTGTTTATTACATATTTAAAAAAGCAACCACTGGGATTACATCACAGAAATCCAACATAAATTCGGTCATGGTTTTTGAGTTGGATGTTGAGACCAAGTTCCCACCAGTCTAGTGGAAAGATGCTATTTGTTTATTTTACAGCCAGTTGCTGTGATCTGGGTTGAGAGAAGTGGTAATGATGTTCTCCCTGAGCTGGAAGATGCCATCTGTTGGTGGGAGGTGGCGGGCTGGGCTGCCCTGTGGAGGTCTTATAGTATCACAGGGAGGCATGTGGAGGTGGGGGTAGCCGAGGTATGAGTGGGGATACTTGAAGTGAAGGGGGGTTCCACCTGCGTTGGTGAGTCAAACCTGTTGCAAAACTAACTAATAAAGACGGTTTTGGTAAGTTTTATTTTGTTTCTGTTCACTTCTATCCACTACTATGATGATACAATGATATAAAAGGTAAAAAAAAGTGATAATACAGCTGTCTCTGATTAAACAAAATGTCTATCTCTGTAGGGATTCTTTCCTTTATGTTTTTAGACACTGGATCAGAGCATCTTCAAAACTGCAGCTATTGTGGGGTGATCCTGGTCTGCAGTGTTTTAGTACCTATCAAAAGTGGTCCAAGGAAGGAAAAGCGATGAACCAGAGACAAGGTCATGGGCGGCCAGACGAGCTACAGTAGCTCAGACTACTAAAAAAAGTGAATGCTAGTTCTGATAGAAAGGTGTCAGAACACACATTGCATCACAGTTTGTTGATATGAGGAACATTATAACCACCAGGGTGCCCAGGTAGTCATAATGTTATAGCTGATCAGTGTAAATCACAGCACTGTGACAGGTCAGCCAAAAAGTTGCAAAAAGAAAATAACGACTTGTACTTTTACAATCGTCTCTATATACGGCTCTGCGTCTCTGCACTCACAGCCTGATCCCCCCCACCCCCGTATACCGGTACATGTTCAGTAGGATGGAAGCGTCGGACATCGAACAGGCAAAGATAGACTCCGAAGATGTCTACTGACCAGGTAACGCCTGAGTGAATGCCTGCTAGTGTCTTCCATTGAGGCTGCTTCTTATGTCGCTGATGTATGTGACATCGCGTCGTAAAGCCTTTTGTGATTCGAGATTTGGCGGGACGCCACCTTTCAGACTTGCATTGCTGGTTCTGCCAGCGGCTTCCCTCTCCTGCTTTGCTATCGGGATGATTCGCTGTACTACGAGTTTGTTTACCATCAAAATGACTTCGAAGCTGTTATATTAAGGTAAAAATCTTGCATAGTGTGCCTTTAATGAACAGGCATAGCAAATAATTTTTTAAAGGGAATATACAAATATTCATCACTGGTCGCAGGGACCAAAAGGGGTGGTGAGTAACAAGAAAAAATTTAATTAAATTAAATAAAAATTAAGCATCAAAATATTTCATACTTCAGGCACTTGGGGATGGGGGTGCAGCCTCTCGAGGTAGGGGGTTCAACTACAATCCCCTACTTCCCGTGGCTGTATCTACTGCAATATCCAGTGGCAAGAGAATTTTGTATATAATTATATTTGTATATGTTCGCTCAGTTTCTTGACTGAATTTCAAATACACTTCAAATTCTACTTTATGCCCTTCTCTTAGTAGTATAACCTATTCTTCTGTACGGTTTTGTCCTGCAGCCCACCCTCCCTCTTCTTCAGTGGTGTTCCTACCTGTTCCTGTGGAGGAGATCGGAACTCTTTGGTCTTCTTGGCAGTGAGGGCAGCAGACATGTTAAGGGCTAGCATCACCTCATTGTAGCGGAATCGCTGGTTCTCTTGGAGACAAGCCACAAAGTCATCAGAGAATGCTACCACTGCCTCGATACGATGACGCACCTGGCAGTCACACAGGTACTGTAGCACATGGCACATCTACACACACACACACACACACACACACACACACACACACACACACACACACACACACATAGAATGTCGAGTTAACTAAATATTATGATGAAAAAAATATGTAATATATGTTTGTAGGTTACAGTACATCCTGTCATTGTCTTTACTTAAGGTACTGCTTAAACATTGCTAAAACTTGAAGGCTAAGAAAATCAAAATTCTGAACATTTTTGTGTTTGTGCTCTTGCCAGCAGCTTGCTTAAATTGTGCTTTTAATTGTGTTTTTTTTCTTAGACATACTATCTTTATTTTCTGGTTCTGATGGGTTTTAAAATATGTATGTTTCATCATACCAAGTGTTCCACTGCTCTTCTCTCGGGACATATTATAGCATTAAGAGAATGCTTACATGCGTTTACATCTAGCTGATTTTTCCCCAATGTGTTTATTTCAAGTGAGGAGGAAGCGTTTGATTTAGCCAGAATTGTTTTAATATTTTTCATATTTTTTTCAAAATTATAATAATAATTATAATATACATGTTTATATATATATAAATGCATATTTGTTCTTTACATCTTTTGTACTGTTAACAGCTTATTTCCAGCTAATATAAACCGCTTCTCTCTGCTGTATGGTTCACCTCTGATATAAAGAGCTTGTTTTGTCATTCATGAAGTTGTGTGTATGTGCCACATTCAGTCAGCGTCGTTCCTCTGCTGTTCTGATACTAAATCAGTGTCTTTTATCCTGGTTTCTTGTTGGGTTGAACTTGTTGAGGCCATGCTGTATTTTTGTCTTCAGGGGCTCATCTAGCAAAGATTCTGGCCATAAGACTCCTCTGTTGTCTATGCACTGTGCTGTTTTGTCGTGGTGTTTGTTGCTTTTTAACTAATTTATTACTCATTACTCTTTTTAAAAGTAATATTATTACTCAACTTAACACTCCCTGTCAACAGTAATTAGTTACACTACTAGTTATATTACTTTTCTGATTCTCAAAATTGGTAATTGGGTCCCTTCTCCCTAAAATTCAGACTTAAAACTATTAAAATCCAATGATTTTTAACTGTTATTTGATGTTTTCTACTGCTTATATTGAACCACAGTCAACTGTCTAACATATAGACAAGTAGTGACAGCAAAAACAATGACTCACTGTTACATTGAATATTATTCAAAAAAGCACTAGGTCTGTTAATACGCTGATCTGATATAGTACAACAAACTGAGGGGTTGTACTGAGTTTTCACCTGGAGTTTTACAGGCTCCGGTAGCTTCATCTGCAACAGTCCTTCTTTAGGCATATTTCTCCCTCCATCCTCTCCTTTTCCTTCAGTCTCCAACTCCTTCACCACCTCCAGCTCTATTTGCATGTCCTCCTGCCCCTCTCGTCTTTCGGAGAACACAGACGGTTCAATCAGTCTGAGGATGTTCTTCAGATCTCCATTTTGGAAAACTCCCATAATGAGCATGGTGTAGAACAGCTTGATGAGTGGGACAAAGAGAAACTCAGTGCTGCCTCCTACTGGGTCCCGCACATGCAAGCTTCCCTCCCGCACTGCCTCTGTAAGCATCTCGATGGTTTTAATTTTCAGTATATCCAAGGGGAATTCAGGGCTGTACTGGAAACAGTCTCCTGAACCTGAGCCATTGTTGCTGTTACGATACGATTGTCCACTCCCACAGACAAAACTCGGGGATGAGAAATGCATTCTGGGTCTCAGGGAGGTGCTGAGGCCAATGCCTGGCAGGCCATGCTTCTTCTTCTCATCTGGAAACAGGGTGATGCTCTTGGTTTCGTTTGTCATGGGAACGATGTACTCATTGTTCATCATGAGGCGAGCTGTGGCATAGCTTCTCAGGTGTATGTCAATGAGGAGGTCATAGTAGCCTGCACGAAGCAAACCTGTGGGTGAGAGTGATAGTTATATACATTCAACTAAAACAGTATCCCTTAAACATACCATTTATATTCTTATTAATGAACAGACTACTTCCATTACCTCATAGTACCAATTGCATGTATTTATTCTTTATACTGGTCTATATATACAGTAACCATTCCCTGACATCAACTTATAGTTTAAGGAGAGCCAATGTGTCAGAAGTTTCACTCTGTTTGTTAAAAAAGTGTATTTATTTTTAGCCATTTTTATTTGAGTACCTGTATTCTAAGCGTAAAATGAAAACCACAATTGATAAATATTTAACTTGACAGACTTACATTTTGTTCAAGTACAAGTTGTGCTTATTACACACAATGAAAGATAGACTTTCTGAAAAAAAGTATTTTTATCACTTTATTGAGCTGAATTTCAGAATTTACACCTTGACCCAAGATTAATTAGCAAAAAAATGCTTACAATAAGACAGTATTTCTTCAAACAGCATAATAAAAAATAAGTGACTATATTCTTGTGGGGCTCAGCCAACCAGAAAGAACCCAGTAAAAGTTGTACTGTATCACAATACTTTGTAGGGAAGTTGAAGATTGCCACCAACTGAATACCACTCGCCTGTGTGTAAAAAAAAACATCAAAGGCTGAAAACACAACATTTCTTATTTTCATGAAGTTATTCTCTTTGTACTGTGTACTGTGTGTGTGTGTGTTACCTGGCATGTACTTATTCTCTATAGCCTGCAGGAGCTGTGACTCGTCTACGTGGGAGCACAGGGCATGTGCCACCCGGTTGTTTCCCAGAGCACAGATTGCAGAGTAAAGTCTGAGTGTATGGTAGTGAAACTTTAATAAGTCCCTCTGCTCGGACAGCTCAAGGATATCCACCGACCTAGACAACACACAGAGAGATACTGCGTGAGAAATGAGAGAGCGGGTGGATGGAGAAGTGTGTGTGAGTAACTGTGGTTATTCCACCTGTTCTCCTCAGGTATGTGCAGAGACATAAACTGGAGAGGTTCGTTACACTGGACCAACCAGCCATGTCTGTCATTCACTCTGGATGCTGACACCTGAAAAAACAAGTAAGATGAATTTAAGAAAGAATGTTTTACTTTTTACAGTATCTTCTTTTCAGGACACTCAGCCTTTACATCCCTTTATTCTATACAATACACACTTTTTGATTTTAACATTTTGTCAGTAAGCTCTGCCTAGTTTTGTCTGTTGTCCACCAAAACAAAGCAACAAAAGAAGCCCCCAAAAAGGAGTTTTTACCTTGAGGAAGTGGTTGGGAACACGACTCCATAATACAGGAGTGAGGAACTGGACATGTAGCCGTGGAGGACACTGTGGAACTGGGTTCTTCCTCTCACTTTTAAACAGACCAGCTGACAGAGGCATTATATTCTGACAGGAAACAAACATGGTGACCATGATACAACGTCACATAAGACAAAGCCGGACAGACCAAAGATGATACTGTGGACACATTTCTTTCTGTAAACCATGTGTTGGTTGTAGTCTGATTATGTATAAGACATCATTTCATCTCAACCTGATATTACAAACACTGGGGTAATCATTTTACTGAGGACCAAACAGTTAGCCTAAGTGGTCTGTTTTTGAGTGTTTTGCTCAATGCGGACAGGTAATTTAAACTCTGTCAACTCTGTTGATTTCAAGCTTCCTCTTCTACCAAAAGGTGTAATAAAACATCATTAAAACTATTGACAAACTAATCAAGTATAGCTTTATTCCTTTAAATTAAGATAAGATAAAAATATAATATATAATAATATATAGAAAAAAATAGAGTTACATGTACACAATACATATACAGGTTTCTATATATATATATATATATATATATATATATATATATACACACACACCGATCAGCCATAACATTATGAGCACTGAAGTGAATAACACTGATTATCTGGTTATCATGGCACCTGTCAGTGGGTGGGATATATTAGGCAGCAAATGAACATTTTGTCCTCAAGTTGATGTGTTAGAAGTGGTCAGTACCACCAGGGTGCCCAGGTGATCATAATGTTATGGCTGATCACTGTATATATACACACAGAATAAAATATATACAACAGTATAGTTTAAAGGAAATACAGACTATAAAATTGGCCTATGACTATACAGTACAGGTATAATATTAATAATGTGCATGTAAGAAATCATATGTGATTGTATTTTTCTATTCTCATTTAATATAATGTGTATTTTCTTATCTGTTGTGTTGTTTCTTAAGCTGTTGTAACAAGTGAATTTCCCCAGTCTTGTCTTATCTTATCTTAAGTAGTTTAACATTTGAGTCATTTTTTCACCTTAATACGCCCCAGTTCGAACTGGAAGACATTGGGGCTGGTGGCCTTGGCAAACACTGCTGGGAAAAGCTTTGTACTAGGCTCCACCTGTGGAGAGGAGAGAGTGCTTAGCTAGTTACTAATTTCTAGCTAAAAACAGTCAAATAAAAGTTTTTCTAGTTAAAAATCAAGTTTAAATGCTTTTCACATGTATTCATGGTTTTCCTTTTTATTAAAAGGAGAAAAAAATTTTTCTGAAATGCTCATTTAGGCTCTGAACCTCTGAGTGGGCTAGTAATTTGAAGCTGAACAGCTGGGACACAGAGACTATGTAAACAAACTTGCTCTGGTGAATGTAAAGTAAAAGCCAAGAACAGACAGGGGCTCCTGTCAAATTGCCAAAGAAGTAGGTCCTACATAAATGGTAAATGGACCTATACTTGTATAGCGCCTTTCTAGTCTTCCGACCACTCAAAGCACTTTTACACTATGTGCCACATTCACCCTTTCACACACATTCACTCAGTGATGGCAAAGTCCATCGAACAGAAACTACACACGGCATCGGGAGCAACTTGGGGTTTAGTATCTTGCGCAAGGATACTTCGACGCGTGGCACCAGGAGCCGGGGATCGAACCCACAACCTTCCGATTAAGGAGCGACCCGCTCTGCCTCTGAGCCACAGCCGCCCTACATCCTTTACTAAACGTTTTTCTTGACCTAGATGGAAAACGTCATGAGGTCAAGGAAAGATGTGAAGGAACATTCATAAGGACTTAGTAAAAGACAACCTAAGAGCGGGGCTGAGAGAACCCGACTGCACTTTACTATGCTATGTAATTAGGTGATGTGGATGTTGATGACATATTACCGATATTGTTTATACTTAATGCTGATCATATTGTACATGGTAAATGGTAAATGGACCGACCACTCAAAGCACTTTTACACTATGTGCCACAATCACCCATTCACACACATTCATATAGTGATGAAAAAGTCCATCGAACAGAAACATACTCATTAATTCACATTTACACACCGATGCACAGCAGAATTTAGAGAATTCAAACAGTTTTATTTTTTTTTAGCAGTAGGTTTGAAGAATAAAGAGCACAATTAGCTGCACATGTCATGATCAATCAGGCACCCCGAGGTACTATGTGTAATAGCGATCTACCCTGCAAACTGACATTAAATGGTACTGGTCCTGATGTTGGGAAAGCATGCAATGATGCAGAAAAAAGTCTATTTTTTAAACTGTAAGGAGTACAAAGTTGGATATTTGTCGTGTTCAGCAATACAAGGTGCAGGGCAAGGCTGGAAAGCTAATGTGGGTTGTTCAAAGTCTGCTGTCTGACTATCAATGAGTGTGATGTTACTGATTTATTAATTGATTATTTTATTGGCTACAGAATAGAATTTCTCTGACGGAGCCAGCAGCATTCTATTTGAAAGCATTTGAAACCAAAGAATATAAAATATAAATTTCTCCCTTTTTGTTTTTTTAATTTCTCTCAAAGATATGATTACGGAGCAAATGTCAGCATATATGTTGTCCTACCATCTGTACAATGACAAAAACAGTCAGAAAAGGACAAGAAGACAGAAACAGGAAAATTACTATTCAGGAACCTGTAACACTATATCAAATATTTACCTGGTAGTATGTGCTGAGTTCTTTGCCGTTGGCTGTGAAGGTCAGCAGTCCATTTGTTGTGTCAACCAGACAGCCAATTTCTAAGCCGTTGTTGTTCCTCCCCTGACCAGGACTGCTGCTCTCTCCAGCCCACACCATGTAACAGTTACTTCGCTTTATACTGGAGAACACAGAAACACCACGTAACAGTTACTACACTACAAAAAGGAATCTCAAGAAAAAAGCCTTGTTTCTGGGAAATTAGTCTTATTTGCTGTCTAATTTGTGAAAAGAAAAATAATCTTGTCAAGCACGCTCGTTAAAAATATTGAGTTAGATATAACCAGTAACAAGTTAGAACAATGGTTTGCAGAATATCCCAGCAGAGGATAAGATTATTTTAACATAAGACCACTTGCACAACTTCTCAGTTTAAGAGAAAGTGGTCTTGTTCCAGTGTTGTAAATGAAGCAGATGTTTAGTTTTAAATTTGTTTAATAAAAAACACTAAAAATAAAAATGTTTCCGGTGTCTTCGATTAAATAATTTTTCTTTGCGAATTATTCATCTTAGATTAAGGTACAAGTGAGTTGTTATTTGGAGGAGCAGCAGCTCTCTATGGGATTTGCTGGAGACACAGAGGGAAGCGAGTTGGAGCGCTTATTAAACTGAGACAGCGGGGGTTTCGTACTGTGCTTCTGTCATTACACCTGCTGAATATCCATCCAACAAGATGGATGAACTGCTGCTCCTCAACAAAACAAATATGGATACTTTCACAGATCTGCCGCCCAGTGCTTCACTGAAACATCATTATCACATCACATCCCAGACACCACACTCCACCTGCGGGCCGTGTAACGGAGCTCTCTGGGAAGATGAGGGCAGGCGGAATCTGCTTTTACATTAACGAAGGTTGGTGTACAGATGTCACAGTGTTCAGCAACTCATGTAGACCTTATGCATAAACTGCAAACCAGTTTATTTACCGCAGTAGTTATTTCCACCTCAGGCCAGTGTAATGAGGCGTTACTTCACTGGCTGACCAGATAACAAATGTGGAGAAAAAAACATCCAGACTCCCTGCTTATTGTTCCTGGGAACTTTAAGAGCAAACCTCAGACATGAACTTCTAAAATATAGACAGCATATTAAGTGTCCCACCAGGGATACTAACAGACTGGACCACTACACCACAATAAAGGATGCCTACTGCTCTGTTCCCGTCAGTGTGGACAGGCCTGCAGAACATTACCAACTACAAGAGACCATCCCCCCACAATGTGGTGAACCATCAACTGGCTGACGACCTGAATGTGTTTTACTGATTGGTTTTACTGTAGATTTGAAAAGACCACATTCACACCTCTCCCTGCTCAAATATCATACAGCTACCTACAGTGTGCTCTCCCCACTGCTCTTCTCCCTCTAAACAAATGACTGCACCTCAAAAGAGGTGTCATATTCCTGAAGTTCGCAGATAACAACAATCATCGGCTCATCATGACTCAAACATCTACTGTACCTGTAAACTATTTATTATTTATTTTCCAATTGTTAAATTTAGTTTCTTTTTTAAAACCATAAAAACAATCATTCAAATACATCTACGTATGCTGTGCATACTGCATAATATGTACAGTACATGCTGTATGTGTTGTATATATTGTATATACAGTAGTGTGACTTGCTCAAATTTTTGTCTAGTTTTAAGGCCGATTACAGGCTTTAAGTGGGGTGGAGTGGGAGTTCAGGGGGAAGGGGGGTCTCCTGCTAAACTCTGCATCGAGGAGCTCCCCCTTCCCCCTGAATTTACACTCCACCCCACCCTCCATGGACTGAACTGTTTTTCTTCCCATATTCCCAACCACTGACCCCCTCTCCAATCTTGTACTTACATCCGCACTATATAATTTACTACCAATCTGTTTAAACTGTAAATATCTTAACATAATAGCTGTATATATCTCTGCTAGTACATTCATATATATATCTATAATGTTATATATTTTTTTATATATCCCTGTACATATGCACATTACTCTGCACTTTACTGCTTTTGCACTTGTGAGGTTAGATGCTTAACGGCATTTCATTGTTTTAGTACTTGTACAATGACAATAAAGTTGAATCTAATCTAATCTAAGAGATAAGAGATTCCTTTATTTATCCCCCTTAGGAGAAATTCAGGTTGACACAGCAGCAATAGGGCAAAGTATTGCAAAACAGAGAACAAAGAATTTTATTACAAAATACAAAATAGAATAGAATATAAAACTATAAATGAAAGTATATACATCTAATCTAAAAGTGGCTAGTTTTTTATGCTAGTTTTAAGACCTCTAGCTATGCTAAATATGTTTACCCCATTGCCAGATTTATTTGCTCAATACAAGAAAATATTATTATATTTCAGAATATTTTGCTTGTTTTGGAGCTGTTTTTGCAGTGTACATTTTATACTGGAGAACAGACAGAAAGAGCATGTTACTTAAATCATACTGTATACATTATGTAATTATAGTCGCAAGCAAAAATGACAACCTGCCGCATTGTTGACACATACCTGCCCAACAAACAAATGATACAATAAAGAATTTACCCTAAGATACGGGTTGGTTGCAACTAGACTAACCTCTCATGAACTTTGCCCTTCTCGTCTCCCAGGGTAACAGTGACTGTTCGGACATTGTGCAGGTCGAAGCCTGGGTCAAACTGATGGAAGTCAGAGGTTACCCAGCCCACCCAAACACTGCTGGGTTCCTGACCAGGAAAGATCCGCACCGCGTAGTAGTGCTGCACAGAAAGAGATGCAATAAACTCAGCTGCAGTGCACTTGATCACAGTTGCTTTCCCAAACTTTACAACTTTACAACATGCATATTATGAAACAGTAAATCAATACATAGAATTAAGAACACTTGGGTAAACACTTCTATCAGGTGCAAGGGATAAACATTATTTGCTACAAAGCAAATACATACAAATTTTGCATGTAACAGATTTAATGACTGAACTATAACACTTTTCTGTACATATGATATCAATAATGTATTCATTTTAGAATCATTTCGTACATCTTTAGCCTTATTTATGAGTAGGGAGCTACTCATCATACGTCATTAGTAACATATACGTATGTTGTATGTTTAAGTGTTTTGTGAATTTTACTTTGTATTGTCTTACAGTAGAGGCCTGCATGAGGAATTCGTATTCATCTCTGTCATCAGCCATCACCTCCTCTGACAGACGAGCAGATGATGGACAGCTGTTGTCTGGCTTGTTTCTCTTTAACATGAACCTGGTAAATAAGATGGATGGTTTAGGGTTTATTTAGGGTATGGGGTTCAAGTTTAAAAATAGTGGTCAAACACAATAACAGAAAGGTAAAAAATTAAGTGTTGAATCTTCACTGCCGATATGAGGAAATGGAGGGTTTACCGTTGCTTGAGCTTTGAGGGCTTCTCCTGGTTATAGTCTTTGTGGTTGTTGAATTCATCCCTCTCAGGTCCATTAGGACCATTGTGACCATGAGAAGACTTCATTAGCACTTCAAAGTCGGACACAGTTTCAAAGTCCTCCAGCTCCTGCAGAAACAGACAGTGAACACACCACGCATATTCCCAATCATATAAGGTTTACACTTGCAGGTAAATGTGAGCAGTAAATGTTAATGTGGTGAGCTTTCCTTAATAGTTCTATTAACAATATTAAACAGCTGAAATGAATGGAGATGTACAGTATAATTTACAGCAGCAAAATATACAATTAATTCCACTGCAGTAGTAGGGGAGACTGCAACATAACAGATGGATTGTATCTGAGTGTGTGTTACACACTTAGTATCAGTCCGTCATATGTGTATATGTGTTAAGCACACGTCATGGTTGTGGTGCTGTTACCCTCTTTGGGGAGAAGAGGCTTTCATTAAGTAGGGATCTTGAGAAGGATTCTGCACACTCTATGGGCATGCTCAGTCTGTAGAAGGTAATGTCAGTATAACTGTTCTGTGAGCCAAATGACCTCTGGGTGACCCTTAGGCATGGACATGACTCCACTGTCCCATCTATCCTTGTCACCTGAAAAAGGAGGAAAATCAAAAACCATTACTTTCGTATTTAAAGTTATTGTCCTTTTAATGCCATGCCAAAGGTTGCACATGCAGATGCACTGACTGGTAGGTCTTTCGAACTTGCTACATTTTTGTTTTAATCAGTTATTTTTTTATTTTTTTAGAATCTCCACTGCACATCACTGAATTATTTTTGATTGTATTTGAGTTTAAAAGGCTAAGCCAAAACTTTTCAAAACAAGGCTAACTCCTTCAAACTCTGTTTTCCACTTTATCGCTGAAACATGGATCACCTATCACAGAAATAGTGTACTGTGATTGGACAAAGGAGTGTGAGGTTTGGATTAAAGAGCAGCAGATCTTGAGACGATCCACCCAGCTAGATAGGCCAGACCAGCCCACCACAGTGGGTGTTGTCACCCCAGGAGGAGAGGAGGAGAGCCGGAGAAGAGCCACGCTGGCCCAGCTTAGACTTAAGGCTGAGTAGTAATAGCAGTAGTAGTTGTCTTTCTTTCTTTATCCCCTCCCCTCCCCTCCCCCGTCAATGATGCTGGGTGCTCAAACGCAGTGTATAGTGTAAAGTGGATGGATACTTTTTATGTGAAAATGGAACTATATTTGTTACCTGCTGTTTACATTCCCCATGGGTGTATATAGGGATGTATATGTACAACGATCAGCCACAACGTATGACCACCTGGGCACCCTGTCAGGTCTGTGGCTACGCAGACCCATACGCAACAAACTGCAATGCACTGTGTGTTCTGATACTTTGACCGCCACCCATTACCTTGTCCCCACTTCATCGCTTTTCTTTCCTTGGACCACTTTTGATAGGTACTGTCCACTGCAGACCGGGAACACCCAACAAGAGCTGCAGTTTTGGAGATGCTCTGAACATCTAACCATTACAATTTGTCCCTTGTCAAAGTCGCTCAAAACCTTACGCTGCACATTTTTTCTGCTTCTAACACATCAACATTTTCACTTGCTGCCTAATATATCCCACCCACTGACAGGTGCAACGATAACAAGATAATCAGTGTTATTCACTTCATAATGTTATGGCTGATCAGTGTATATTTATAACTGTATATATTATTTTATTAGGGCTTAGCCACGCCCCCCAGAATGAGACCCCTAGACATGTACTACCGACATATATAAAAATTGGTACGCACGTGTATCATTATCAGCCAAGAAAAAAAGCCTCTTGGACCCATACCCTAAACCCAAAAGGAAGTCGGCCATTTTGAATTTCGTGGTCATTTTTGTATTTGAACAAACTCTTCTTAGGTAATTTATTGGATCGACTTCAAATTTCAGTGAAAGACCATCACGTTTAAAAGTTGTGCTATTTGTGAATGTACGTTGAACGGCTCGCACCTGGCATGGCTTCCACTTTTGACAAAATGCCATTAAACAGGAAGTTCTCATAACTTTACTGTACTTTGTCCAATCACAAACGAAACTTCATGTTTGATAAGAGTCCTGCCCTCCCTGAACCTACATGCCAATATTCAGATAGTACTACTTCTAGCAGGATGATCGGATTCAGATCAAATCTGGCCAGAAGACCCTTGAGACATTGATGATGATGCTATGCTATGCTATGATTCTTGTGACTATTTGTCAAAGATGGTCTTTTTCTGACGATTTGCACATGTTGTATTTTAACAAACTCCTAGGTAATTGTTTGGATCGACTTTAAATTTGGTCAGTGCAATCTAATGACTGAAAAGATTAAAAGTTGCTCTTTGTGTCATTTTAAAACCTTGTGTTGTATAATGATAAATACATCTCCTGTACTGTCAGTTTAGCATGTTACAATAATTTATTTATTGTTTGAAGAGTTAATGTTAATTAAAAGCTCTACCAAAAATCTACAGTAAATGCAGATTCTACCAGGTACTAGTAGCTACTTGGTCCTGAGTGGAAGTATATGTCACTCCCCTTACCTCTATGTGTTGGTGGTTGGTGGGGACAGGTACAAACTGAGGTAGCCTTTTGCTGAGCCACATAGTGACATCCCGGTTCATGTTGACAGCGAATGGTTCGTATCCTTCCTGCAGGCCGCAGATGGTGAAGTACTTTAGAGTGCTAACGTCTTTACCAAAGTTCATCCTCCCCACCTGACACACACCTAGACTGCACACTGGTATAAAACCTGGAGACAGACAGAACAAATCAAAGACTAAGGTGATGCAAAGAGGAACCATTTAACATTTGTACAACTCAATATTCACCTTGTCAATTGAGAAATTGAAGAGATATCTTCTGAAAATGTTATAACGCACTGGTTAACAATTATATGTTACACATCTGACTGCAGGCAGGACTAATGTAATTTCATCTTTGATAATGTTCAGACAACCACTCCCCCATGGGACCCTTACATAGAAGGACAAGACTTGACTACTACGAAACTACTAAGCTTTAACATTAATGAAAAGAAGCAGGTCGTGCTTTCCTTGTTCTGTAATTTGCATGACTCTTGTTTTAAAGAGTTTACAAAAGAACCAGGATTCAAACTTTCCTTCAGTATGATCATTCGTATGATTTTCTTTGTTGCCTTGTTGCAAGTCAAGGCTAAAAAGCAGTGTTGTGTAGAGCCATGTGCATGTGTGTGTTGTTAATAACATAGTACTGACCTCCACCAACTTCAAAGTCCTTGAAAGCCAGCTCAGATCCAGAGTCATCCAGCAGAACTTCTCCATTAAGTGTGAACATCATGGTGTGTTCATTCAGATCCACCATGCAGCCAATGACGTCCCCTGTCTGCCAGGCACGCCCAAAGTGCTCATTACCCTGGTGCCAGCGCTGGACCTACAAAATAAAAAAAATAAAATAAAAAATCAGATTTATTGAACTGAAACTGAACAAATGAAGAGAAAAGAAAAATCAAGACACCTTGAAACCATCGAAGACAAAAGCCTGCTCATCAGATCCCAGCTCCTGGTCTGGGAGGCATCCAGGCCTGGCCCAGCCCACCCTCATCTCTCCTGCTGTTAATACCTGGAAGAGAAGCAGTAATGGGTTAACATCCAGTTCAAGAACTGGAAAACTGTGACAGTGAAAGCTCAGTGGATAACTTAGTTTATTTGGGGTTTTGGGACATCTGAAAACAAACATGTATATTCTACTACTTGGTGTCTGCAGCTTATGGTGGATCAAGGAGCATGTGGAATAGTAACAACATTTAGTGAAAGGTTTTTTATAATTTCCTTCTTCTAATCTATAGTGTACTGGAAGAATAGGCCAGGGGTAGGCAACCTGCAGCTCTGAAGCCGCTCTCCAGTGCCTCCCTATGGCCACAGCCATCTAAAGACATTCATGATTAATAGTTGTGCTATTTAAGACATTCCGTCAAAGTGCGTGACCGTGGTGTGGCGTCCAATTTCAAGGATTTCAGTAGGGAAGAACAGCTTTTGGTTTAAGTCTAACCGCAACTTCCAATCACGTGCTCCGCTGAACTGCCCAGCATCTGGTCTTGAGGTAGTGAGACTGGCTTGACCCTCACCCTCCTGGACAAATGTTGTTGCCTGCCAGCGGGATGATGGGGGTTGAAGGGCATTCACATTCATCCGTCGCGTTTCCAGCAGTGCTGCAAGACACTTTAGCACCTGGTTGTGTCACCAGGTGTAACGGCCTTGGGTGAGGCTGGTCTTGCAGCCCACTAAGATGTGCTTCAGTGTTGCTGGAGTCGGGCAGAATGAGCATGTGGGGTCTTTGCCATACAACTGGCTGAGGTTCTTGGGAGATGGCAGGACATCGTAGGCAGCCTTGATGGTGAAGCTTGCTCTGAATGCCTCCATTTCCCATAGCTCTTGCCAGGAGATCTTCCTCTTCTCCACTCCTTCCCATGTCATCCACCGCCCTTGCTTCGCCTGCGAGACAGTCTTTGCGCTCCTGTCAGCCTCCTTTTGCTGACGTACTCTTGCACCACGAGCTTGCGTCTTTGGGACGGAGTGGCCTTGTTCCAGCCAGGTGTGCTGGTCCCGAGGCCCAGACCACTCCTCCCCTGCTGCACTTAGCCCACGATGTCCCTATACCTGAGAGCTGCTTTTGCCTGCTCTGTTGCAGCTGATAGGGTCCACTTCCTCCAAGTAGCAAGGATGGGGGGAGCTTGGGCTACAAATGGATCACGAATAGCATCATTTCCAGTCTTACTTTGGCGCAGATCTAAAATTATTTTGCCGTAGAGCCCAATACTGCTGAGGCACCTGGGAAGACCAAGCCACTTCCTTGCATAGGAGCTAACCAGTCTCTCCAGCTTTTCCACCTTTAAGATTGGAACTTCGTACAGGGTGAGTGGCCACATGAGGCATGGAAGTAGCCCAAATTGCATGCACCGGAGCTTCAGCTTGCCAGGAAACAGGGTTCTGTCAATGTTCTCCAGGCCGCTGGTTACGTCCTGGAATAGCGTCATCGCCAATGTGAAAGTGTTGGTCTGACAGTTTACCCTTGATGATGGAGATGCTTCTGGACTTGCTTGGCTTGATCTTCATGCGAGCCAGCTTGATGTTGTCTTGTAGCTTTCTCAATCTCAATCAATGCATCAGGTGATGTAGACAAGAACATTGTCAAAGCTGCAGTCAAGGCCTCATTTGTTACCCCAGAACTTCTGCCTCCAACTGAGTCCTCAACCAAATACCACTGCTAAAGAGTTTACTTCCGGATCATGGTGTGGATTAAAGGAAGGTGACATGAACACAGTGGATTGGGGATGGAAACTGGTGAACAACCGGTTCTTGCCAGTTATGACCAGTAAGACTGCTGCCCCAGAAAGCCTCCTGCAAATGATCCACTGTAATTGCACAACTGCCTGCCAAACACAACGGTGCAGTTGCAGGGCATATGGACTACCATGCATGCCTGCTTGTGGACCATGTCAAGTTGGGAATTGTGAGAATCACTATAATCAACCTCTATGGGAGGAAGAGTGTGACGACTAATGGTAAATCTAGTGAAGGTCATAGGGCAAAAATTTATAAAAAATAAACCAGAATAAGAGGAAACAACTGAAGAAAATATATGTATAAAAAAAAGTATTAAAAAAATATATAAGGCAAAAAAAAAAAAAAAAAACGCATAGAATTTTTACATCATCTGAATGAGATGAAGCGCTATGGCAGGAGACTGAGGAGAACCCCACTTCTGATACAGAGGCATAAAAAAGCCAGACTGCAGTTTGCTGAGTAAGCCTCAATCCTTCTGAGAGAATGTTTTGTGGACAGATGAGACTAAGGTAGAGCTTCTTAAGCACGTCATTCTACTGTTTACAAAAAACAGAATGAGGCCTACAAAGAAAAGAACACTGTACCTACAGTCAAATATGGTGGAGGTTCAAAGATGTTTTGGGGTTGTTTTGCCGCCTCTGGCACTGGGTGCATTGATTGTGTGCAAGGAATCATGAAATCTGGAGACTATCAAAAGATTTTGGCCCGTAATGTAGGGCCTAGTGTCAGAAAAGCTAGGTCTGCGTCAGAGGTCATGGGTGTTCCAGCAGGACAATGACCCAAAACATACCTCACAAAGCACCCAGAAATGGTTGGAGGCAAAGCGCTGGAGAATTCTGAAGTGGCCAGCAATGAGTCCGCATCTAAATCCCACAGAACACCTATGGAATTACTGTTGCGAGAAGGCACCCTTCAAATCTGAGAGACCTGGAGCAGTTATAACCCAAACACAATATGAAGTCGGCCAATTTGAATTCCGTGGTCATTTTTGGCGATTTGCACACATTGTATTTGAACAAACTCCTCCTAGGGAATTTATCGGCTCAACTTTATATTTAAATTTGTGGAGTGTAAGGGCCAGTTCATCACTGCTTGCAGCTTCAATTTCTATTTATCATTGTTGTATGCCTAAAGTGATTCTAACTTCCTTCAATTCTTCAAATAATGGTTGTGATAATGTATTAGAAATCCCCACAGATGTTAGAAAGGTCAGACCCCTTCTTTTGGGAGCTCAACTCCAACTGGCTCCCACATAACTCTAACCCTGGTTAGGTTTAGGAAAAGATCATGATTTGTGTTAAAATAAGTATGTTATGTTGCAAGACATGTTGCAATTACTGTGGCAAGAAAGCACGTGAAACATAAAACTTTAAATGATACATTTCAGAGCAATACTGACATACCCCTTATTATGTATCTTCTTACCTCTAGCTCAAAGTACCACTTCCCTGCATTAACACAGTAGGTTTTCTCTGCTCTGAAAATACGGAATCTCTCATCGGACAGGTTGCTGAGGTCAGACTGAGCTGCTGGATGAGGGGGAGTCAGAGGGGAAGAATGGTTAAGGGAAGCATCTACTGAGCAAACTCATGGACAAACTATCATTTTCTTTATACTTTGTATAATCAAGGTAGTAATTTTTGCAGCCAAAAATTATTATACCATGGTCCTGGTCAGGAGCTTCCAGGTTGTATCCATATCCTAGCAGAGTCCTGACAGCCTCCCTGAGACTATCCTTGTTGGACTTCTTGGTTCTCTCATCCAGAAGAATGTAGGGGACCAGGCGAGGATTTCTTCGATTCTTCACATCCTGAGAAGGGACAGAGAAAAGACGAATAAAAAGGAAATAACCAATAACTCTATAGAACTGTAGTGCTGTCTGAGAAAAGTGAAAAAGTAGTTCTTGCCCCTCCCTGATTACCATCACTTAGGTGCTCTTTAGCTGCTTGGATTACTATTATTATTGATATGGACAACCCCATCGCAGTTTGTCTTTTTTGGCATGGCACATAGTCTTTTGTTTTTTTTCCACAATAATACAGTATATGTCACAGTCTCCTACCTGTTGGATGCCATAGGTCCAGCCCTGGCGGATGCGGTCTCTTGCCCAGACGTTGTGTGCATTCTCAGCCAGTTTGTCCACCATGGCTTCCTGGGTGGATGTCAGTTTGATGTGACTGAGGTCCAACGGAGCAGGTTTATAGCCACTGGACAACTCATAGCTGCATAGATAGAGTTGAGTCAGAGTCAATAGCTATCCAGATGTTCAACAACCTTCGTGTACTGACATCTAAGAGTCTCTGTTGGTCTGGTCATCTTAATATGATTTTTGTTCAACATCATGTTAAGTATCATCCTGCATCCCATCCTTGTTGACTTGTGGCAATACTTATGTTTTATAATACTGTATAAAACATTATATGGTTTTATACAGTATTTTATAATACTGTATAAAACACAAGTATACAATACAACTTACGTTGGTGACAGTTTCATACTCTTGACTTTCTCTACAGCATGTTCATCTGCTAGGCCAACATGGCAACCTAAGGCCAGGAGAGTTCTGTAACACACACAATCAAATACATTATTTATTTATTTTTTAGTATTCAGGTCTTTGATATTTAGCCAAACATTACCCCTACGTTTAACTGCCTAGCCACAGAAATAAACTTGTTCACTATGCAGGCAATGAGTCTGCACATGTGACTCAGATCTGTTTTATTATGACAGTGGGAACAGAATAAGTCTGATCTGATCTCAATTCTGATTTGGGCCTTCTTAGCTAGAGCTCGAAATGTTCATAAACTACTTTTTCGTGTTCCTCCTATGTGCTTTGTCCGATTCGCACAAAATTTTTCACGTAGCATCTGGGGACCGCCCTTATAAAAAAGTATTTAAAGAATTTTGATATTTCAAAAAATAAGCACGTTATAAAATTAGCACTTCCTGTAAATGTTTCGTCAAAAAAGGAAGTGGACCATTTCTCCACATTGGTATGTCCGATTGACACCAAGCTTGAGCCCATAGTTCTCCATGTCTTCCTTAGGCATCGTGCACAATTTCAGGCCATTGCCACAAGGTGGCGCTCTTTAAAATGAAGAAGTTTATATCTCCGCATAGGCACGTGTGATTAAAATGAAACTTGGTAAGATGCACAATGTAACGTGCCGAGATGTACAAAAAAGCCTCTTGGACCCATACCCCAAACCCCACGGGAAGTCGACCATTTTGATATTCATTTTCAACTTTTCGCCTTGTATTTGACTGTACATTGAAGGGCGTGTCCATGTCTTTCCGTCAAAGTTGGCCATTTTGAATTCCGTGCTCACTTTCGGTGAATTTTTCGCCTTGTATTTGAACAAACTCCTCCTAGGGAATTTATCGGATCTACTTCAAAATAGTCAGTACAGTCCAAAAATGCTGCTGATTAAAAGTTGTGCTATTTGTGCATATACATTAAAAGGCATGTCCGTGGCGTGGCATCAAAGTCAGCCATTTTGAATTTTTCTGTCATTTTCTTTGATTTTTCATGTTGTATTTGAACGAACTCCTCCTAGGGAATTCATTGGATCTGCTTCAAAATTGGTCAGTACAGTTACAGTATAGTGCTGATTAAAAGTTGTGCTATTTGTACACGTACGTTGAAGGGCGCGTCCGTGGTGTGCTGTCAAATTTGGCCAGGTTGAACTGAATGTCAAACTGTGGTGCCATTTCTGGCACTTCGCAGACGCGTTTTCTTTTCGTTGTATTTGAACAAACTCCTACTAGGGAATTTATCGGATCAACTTCTAAATTCGTCAATACAGTTAAAAAATCCTGCTGATCAAAAGTTGTGCTATTTGTGACTGTATATCGAACCGCGTGCCCGTGACGACGTGTTGAATTCCGCCGATTGGCCATGAAACAGATATAACTAACATAAACTCATGTCCACTAAACGTCACATATTCTGTAACACGTCCTCACAATCTACATGACATATTGTCTACATGACAATATTCAGACAAAGTGATAGCGCCACCTACTGGCAACAGAAAGTAAGCCCTTTGTGGCAATTCTGAACTGATTTACGTGAAATTTTCATGTTCATGAAAGACTGCAAATGTTCATTTCACTGTACAACATTGTGTTGTATAAAGATAAACAAATTTCCTTGATCCATAAATCAGAATTGAGCGCTAAAGCTTGTAGTGCAAAGTTTGCTGATGTACAATATGAACACGTCATGCGTCATCAGGGCTAACAGGTTTCACAGATAAACATTTTATCTAACTATCATATCTTATGTTGCTCACTGCACTGATGCATTACTTGAGAGTCTCTAGAGACATCTGTAAGTTGTAGCTTCGCTCTTGTTCAGGAAGCTTGGAGAACTCCACCAGACAGGGGTGTTGCCGCTTGTTATCATCTCGCACCTGAAACACACACATAAAAAAGCGAAGAACAGTAAGGGAGCCTGTTGCTTGGCATCCTTTGATCTCAGGGCACAGGGAACCAGGGGACAACTGGATGCATGTAGGCATAGAACTGGAGCTTCTAGTGCACTGCTCTCTAACAGTTTTCACTACTGTTTGGGAAGTGATGTGTGATATACAGCAAGAAGTGCCAAACGTCTGGTGCTGCAGCTGTGCCAAAGTCAAAATACAACACAGGGTGTGTCAGCCTGAGCCAGACTGCACTCAGTAACTTAGTACGGTACTTAGGGCAGCTAACAGCTCAGCTCCACAGAGGTAGGTTAGGTTGAAGCCTGGCCTCCGCCTGCTAGGGAGATGTTGTTAAATACCTTAAGGTGATAAAATGAAAATGTGAAAATGTCACAAAAACACAGAATCTCACAGAGGTAACTGCAATTCCAAAAGGTTTCTGTTGTCATAGACAGGTGTAATCTCAGTCACACATAGCGCCATAACAGTAACTTCTGCAAGTAGGGTGCTGCTACGTTCTGTTTATAGCTCTTTTCAGACATGGAATACACACAATTTCTGGCTTCAACATGTTGTTTAAGTGATGGACTGTTGTCTTTCAAACATGAGATGATGCTCATTTGCCCTTAGATTTATGGTAAATGGACTGTACTTATATAGCACCTTTCTAGTCTTGCAACCACTCAATGCGCTGTACACTACATGCCACACTCACCCCATACACGCACATTCATACACTGATGGCAGTGGCTACCATGCAACGTGCCAACTGCTCACCAGAACGGACACTAATCATTCACACCAGTCATACACTGATGCGCAGCAGATTAGTGGATTCGCTCTACCTCTGAGCCACAGCCGCACGTTATGTAAAGAGGAGCATGTCTGAAAGGTTTATAATCAGTGTTTCATATACAGCATTGAGCTGTTACTCACTGCTCCGTAGGTCCAGCCAAGTTCTATCTTGTTCATCACCCACAGTTCATGAATGTTTTCGGCAAGCTTCTCCCTGATCCTCTCCAAGTGAGGTGGCAGCATAATCTACACATAGACAGACAAACATTGTATTTAAATCGCTTAGGACACTTCTGTAGCTTCAGTCTGGCTGTGCCCTTTGTTTTTTGACTGACAAATAATGTAAATATATTATGTGTTTATTCATATAGTTATTTATTTCATAATGTCATAATGGCCTATATAAATGACCATTCCTCTAAGCTGGCAATAACCTGAAAGTAGTCTGTACCTGGCTGGTGTCCACAGGTGTCGGGGTGAATGCTGCCTGGCTCAGGGTGATGGTAGGTCCCAGTAGGTCTCTGGCTGCAGTCTGGTCCTGACTAGGCTCCAGCTTCAGCTTCTCCCTGGGCAACACCGCCTCATAACAAGGGGCGTAGCCTGGAGGAGGGAGGAACTTAAACTCCCCATGACGCCCCCCGAGAAGGAAACGCACCCTGAAGTGTGACAAATGACAAACAGAGGTATCAAGGAAGAGGGTATGATTTCAACATGGAAAATTTTATTTATTTACTTTCCCACATATGATAATGTAGCAGTCTGCACAACCACCAAACCCAGTAAGTTAGATAGCTAGCATCAGACTTTTTTATCAGCCTGACTGGTCAGATTTCAGATTTCTGCACAAGATAACAAAAGTTAAAGTTTATTTCTTATATATATATATATATATATATATATATATAAACACCAACATTTTAATAGCCACACATAATATAAACCTGGAAAAGTGCAGTTTTTTGTTCTTCTGGTGTTTGAAGTTCAGAAAGTGTCAGAAGTATATTTCTCATACCCTGACTACCATTTATTTTGCTGTATTAATATTGCCTTTTAACCAGTTGTACAATATGCATAGCACAGTATGTTCATCTTAGGGATGCATGATATGGATATTCTTTCAGCTGATATGATAACCAATAATTTCACATTTCACAAGTTCATAACCTGCATTTTTCCCACACTTGATGGGAAGAAAGTCTGAGATGCAGTGAGCAAAGATGGATTTAATATTCCATACTTCTGTTCTAAACAAATCTAACTAATCCAATTACTGTTGTTAACAAAAACAACAATAAACAACAGTTCTGACTCTTTAAATGTTCATCAAAAGACTTCGCAAACATACTTCTCTATCTCTCTAACAATTTTTTTGCATAATGTAAAAACAACTGATTTAATTATCCCGATAATTCTTAATAATAATAATTTCCCATTATCAGACAATATTTTATCGGGCCCGATAATCATCGTGCATCCCTAGTTAATCTAATTGTGTGACACTGAACCTTGATTCTACAAATGATGTCCAGTACATATCAATCAACGTGCAATGCTATTCTACTGTAGGTAGAGGTTGTGGCTTATTATTAATACAAAGTGTAACTTTTACTACCAACATACGAGAAACATAGCCTTTTTTTGGCCTCATAGTGTTAAAGGTGACTCTCTGTTGTACTACATTTACCACCTTTTTGACACTTTTATGGTTATGTGTTTGATGTTCAGACAAAATATATTCAAGTTTATTCTGACAAAAAGGAACAGACAAATAAAGTGGCAAAGAGCGATGAATGGGCCCTCGCACTCGGTGCCGTCAGGGTGTGCTGCAGCCGCGTCATGTGCTGGCGTTACACCACAACATGAAAATTTCATGGAAATCAGGCTAAGCCATTTTGCGACACCCATCAACGGGACCAAGACAATACCTTAGACTTCGCCATGACTAAATTTTGTGCAACGTTTCATTAGGTTAACACAAAAGCTGTTTTTCTGCCGCGTCGCCATGGCAACATGGTTCTTCGAAAATTCTTAAGATAAATAAGATGTCATCGTCATCAACCTAAGGGAGTTCAGACAGAATTTCAGCTGGATCTGGTCAATCTGCTGGAAGATATAAATAAAAGTATAAAAATGACATTACCTTTCACCACTAGGTGGCGCTCTCACTATTAGTGAATATTATCACATAGATATATTCAGGGCGAGACTCTTATCAGACAAGTGAAGTTTGGCTGCTCAATGAATATTCATGAGGAGCACAACTTTTAATCCTGAGGGTTGTGCCCACTAAATTTGAAGTTGATCCGATAAATTCCCTAGGAGGAGTTCGTTCAAATACAACGTGTGCAAATCGCAGAAAATGACCACAAAATTCAAAAAGGCTGACTTCCTGTTGTGTTTGGGTTATGGGTCCAAGAGGCTTTTTTGTACATCCTAACATGACATATATGCCTGCCAATTTTCATTCATGTCCCCTAAACAGGACACTGGGGCTGGTTTTTGAAGGTTTGTAGGGGCACTATTTAAACCATTTTGACACACCCACAGGCAACGCTCAGATGAAATGTAAAATGCTGCCATGTGGGACGTGTGTGCCAAGTTTCATGAGGTGTTGAGCCTGTTTAGCCCCTGCAAAATGCGATCAAATGTTAAAACAACACAGTGATGCTCGCCGGGTCGCTATGCAACACGGTTCTATAAAAATTCATAAGATTCATGAGAGGTCATTGTCAACATTCTAAGGGTCTTCTGACTAATTTTCAGCTGGATGTGGTCAATCTGCTAGGAGAAATAGATTAAAGTGTAATAGATTCCACCACAAGGTGGCGCTAACACTTTTACTGAATATTATCACATAGATGTGTTCAGGGCGTGACTCTTATCAGACACTTGAGCTTTGGTGCCGAATGGACAATGTATACTCAAGTTACAGCAAATTCATGTATGTCCATGTTTGACGCCACTAGTTGGCCCTATGAGTATATCTGAATATTGTCATGTAGACGTGTTCAGGGCAGGACTCTTGTACTTGACTTGTACGCTGAAGTTATGACAACTTCCATTTTCATGGCGAGTCCTTGAAATTGGACGCCACACCACGGGCATGCCGTGGAAAGTGTTTAAATATGCGATCAAAGAGGCAAAAAATAATAATAATGAATAATAAATAATAATAAATAGGGCTTTCGCACTGGTCAGTGCTCGGGCCCTAATAATTAAATTTTCTTTTGGTGTCAATGGATTTCAGTGAAATACTGACTTGACTCCAGCAGAGAAGCTGGCCACAGGGAAGAAGAGGCCATCGGAGTTGAAGTTTTCAAACATGCCCTGAACTGGCTGGCCGTTGATCCTGAAGGAGATACTGGGCACGCTGAGGTCCAGGCAGCAGCTCACCACATCCTCTGCTCTCAGAAGATGCTGATTGGGTGAGTTAACAGTCCGCGCAATACATCCTGCATTGTGAGGACAGAGTTTAATTTGAAGGCAAGTTCATCCAGTTTGTTAGATCAAAGCATATTCAGTGAATGCTTTTAGACTATTTGGAAAGTAGCTTGTCCTAACTTGTTATTAAGCAGAAAAATATACAATTATTATTTAGCTGGTTATCATATAGAAGTACCAGCTATACACCATACACACACACACACACACACACACACACACACACACACACACACACACACACACACACACACACACACACACACCTCACCTGACCAGAGATGGAGTCCATCAAAGCCATATGAGTAGAGGTCATCACCCACCCCATTGCCTCCCCACCCCTCCCCCCCACTTGGGTAGGGTGCATAGCCACTGGTGTTGGCCCAGCCCACCCTGAGGTGAGTAGCCTCTGCTGTGATGAACGGCACTGCCTGATCCACAATCAGCTCGTAGTACCACTTCCTGTACTGAGCAGAGCCGTCACTGACTCCCAGGAAGATGTTGGGACGCATACTGTTGGGAGGATGAAGCAGAGGAGAGGCTGTCCATGAACTGTCTGAAAATTACCTTTTCGTGGGTTAGACTGACAATTTCTGAAAGCCAGCCAGTATTTGCTGCAATGGTCAGTCAGTTTAACAAAAATTTCATCCATGTTGGGTCTGTATTTTATAGCTAAAATCTAAATGCATTGGTCCCATGTTCTACTACTACTGGAAATCTTGATTTGTTTGATGATTTTAAACTTATTTCAGTTGCTCAGGTTTTCACAAAAAGTCTGCAAGACCAGACAATAATTTTTAATTTGAGTCTTCTCTTCAACTCAATACCTAAAATTTGGAAAGCTGCCTATGATGGGGCAGTTGTGGCTCAGGTGGTAGAGTGGGTTGTCTAGTAATCGGAGGGTCACTGGTTTGATTCCCAGCTCCCCCAGTCCAGTCGAGGCTTTCTTGAGCATGGCCGTCCATGTTAGTGTATGTATAGGTAAGCTTTGTATTATCGAGAGCACTTTGGATAGGTGTTGATGAGCAGTTGGCACCTTGTATGGCAGCCTCTGCCATCAGTGTCAGAATGTCTGTTTATATAAATGACTATGACATTCAAGCAACAATACACTTCTATATTGATGACAGTGTCCTTTATACGCATGTTCCCTCCATAATACAGATGGTGTAAGATTTTCAGATTGAATTTCCATTATTACATCAAACTGCTCTGCTGAGTTTAAAATTGCAAAGAAATTTCATGGTCATCTCTAAAGCTCACTTAGCATTTTCATGTCTGACGGTAAAGCTATTGAAAGGGTGCCCTCTTACAAGTACTTTGTAAAGCTTTTATTTAATGTGCTAATCCAGTTAGGAAGTCAGCCGTGGCTGGTAGTTCCTTCAAACTTGCTACATTTTGGCTTGAACTGTAGTTTTTTTTTGCTTTCTTGCTGAAAATATAATTGAATTATGTCTGATTGGATTTAATTTTGCCAAAATTGTTCAAATCAAGTGGATCAGTAGATTTTGACTATGGCAGCAGCTACATATGCACACATATTTATATCTATTGATGTATTTAAGGGCATCATGAAGAATGAGGTGATGGGGGCATTTGGTTGTTTTTCTAGACAAGGTACTGTGTTTGAATAGCCATTGATGAAGAAAATTTACATTTAGGCATAAAAGACTTCCAATTGTTATCTAGGAGCTGGTTCTGGCCCCCTACTGGTTTGGTCCCTTGATCTGTTGCATGCACCTTGATCTTGTCATATACCAAATATATATTCTGGTTGTCTCCTTCCCCCCTGCTAATTTATCTTTTAGGTCATCATGCAATTGCCCCCCCCCTTCCTGCCTTTCTGTTTCCATTGGTAATCACATGCCATCTGATTACTGCCTTTTGGCGCTAATGTTAATCATGTAATATCTGGTGACTGTGTTATCAATTGCTACCATTTATATACTGTCTCTTGCTCTAGTGTATAAAATTGCTTCATTTTATTTGCTCTGGGTCAGCTCACCGCTCTGTGTCAGTTGACCAGTATGTCAGCATGCTTTAATAAACTCACACCACCACAGCAAACCTCTGAACAAGACTTGAATGGTTTCTTTCTGAAGTTGTATATCGTAAGTTGCATTTTCATATGTTGTCATTTTGTACGGTCTTTCTTACAAAAGGTATTTTTGATCTCAATGGGACATCCTGGTACAATATAAAAAAATAAAAAATAATTAAATTGATTTTGTGTGTATACCTGCTTACGTGGTTGATCAGGCAGGTCTGCAGTAACAAGTCTCTTCCTGGCAGCAGGTTGTCGCAGATCAGGTGCTGGTTGGAGCGAACTGCCACGCCATGACACACACACAGCGAACACAACACATCTAGAACCTAGAACGGTACACACATATGTTAGTGTTACAGTATGAACACACACAAATAAATGTGGTTTATTTACATATGACTTTTAAACTGATTTCAAGGTGGATAATGGAAGCTTGTACACATGTGTGAAAGATATTCTGTATATGTATATAGTACTGTATATTTCTAAGAATACCTTGTGGTTGCGTCCATGCTTGTCCAGCAAAGATATAATGGATTTGATGTGTCCCTCTTTGATTATATTTAGTGCCTCAGGACTCTCCACGAGCACACAGTGAAGCACCTCTAGTATTCCTAAAGATACAAACACATGTACAGTAAGCATTCAAAACCAGGGACAGTATCCCCAAATAATCCAGGCACTTGGTAAATGGACTGCACTTATATTGCACTTTTTTAGTTTTCCGAGCAACTTTGGGTTTCAGTATCTTATCTAAGGATTCTTTGTCATGCAGCAGGGCGAGCCAGGGAACAAAAACGCCAATGTTCTGATTCTAACTTTAAGACTCCTTCGTAATTCAAAAAGCTTTGTAGCGTTAAGAGTAGCTCCTCAATCTGTAAGAAGTTAGAGAAATTCTAGAGAGACTCCTGAGTCACTGAGACCTCCTCAAAATCAGTCCTGGCTGGTCAAAGACAAACAGAAATCACTACAACAAATTCACTTTTACATTACTGTCATACTGAGGGGATTTACAGCAGCTCTGACCAGGACTCTGCGCAGCTGTGGTTCAGGAGGCAGAGTGGGTTGTCCACTAATAAGAAGGTTGGCAGTTTCTACATATACAATGGGCAAGCAGAGACTTCAGCAATGTTGACAGGCTAAGGATTTTGGAATGACAAAAAGTGGGTAAAAAGTGGGCTTGTTCAAAATAAATCAGGAAATCAATACAGGACTTTATGCTGGCGAGCTAGACAGTCAAGTCAAGCTATGTGAGGATATTCATGGTTATCCCAATTTATAATTATCATGGCGCAATAGTATGGTATATTATCCCATTGCTAGACACTTGTAAACTAATCAACTCATCAAAAAATACTTGTTTTTAAATATTCAAAATAATTACCAACAAATGCCCAAGTCAGGTTTCTTTCATGTGCTGTAGTGTCTTGTTAAAGGCAAGCTGACCTACCAGATGAGGCCTCCAGTCTCTCTAGTCTGCTAATCAGCCAGTCCAAGGAACCAGAAAACTGAGCACAGTTCTTCCTGTTTCCTCTGATTAGTGCCGCTGGGAGGACAGGACAAGGGACAGGAGAGCAGAGACATAACTTAAGAGGTGCTGCTATTATATGATAATGTGATAATCTTTCTCCTTATTTCCACATCTGTGTTTAATATTTTTCATCTCTTTGAATAATTGATTTCATCTAACTTGATGACTTTCCGTGAAGCCCTTTGTAAAGTCTGGTTTAATATAAAATTATTTTTGAATAATTTAGTAATAATCATTTAATTTATATGTGCAAATGTGTGTGTGTGTGTGTGTGTGTGTGTGTGTGTGTGTGTGTGTGTGTGTGTACCCAGTAGTTGGTAGAGAGAGTTGAGGATGGAGCTCCAGGCCTCTCCTGCCTCCCTTCCTACTGCCTCAGCAAAATGAGCTGCACTGCTGTAGACGTGAAGATGATCAATACACTCCAATACCAGGCTGATCATCCCCTACAGACACAAGTTGATGGTTTTACTGATTTATTCATTTGGATTCAGATAAGCATAATAATGAATTGGATAAGAGAATGAGACAAGAGTTCATATAGTCCTAGTGCATCCATATAACCATTAGCACTGTGAGGTCCCAACTGCAGATAAAAGAGGTTCAGAATTGTGAACAGTGACTCTGCAGTCACAGACCTAAGTCAAGCTGTATTCCAACTTGACACCCGTGCAGACTTGTGTCAGTATCTGTGTATGCTTTAAAATATAGCATTCAGGGTTCCTTCGTAGTTTGAAAAAGTATGGAATTAGATTTTGTTAGTCATTTCCATGTCTGGATAAGTATGGGAGAAAAAAATATTTGTCTTTCCACATTTCCACTATTTTGTTTTCTAAACATAAAATTCAGAATTTCAAATAACAAATTGATCATACAAGTGTTTGTCATCGTGTTTGGAGCAGGCAAGCCAGTGCAGCCAAGATTGTTCACAACAATGTGAGAGAAGTCGTCGAAAACAAGGCAAGAAGCACAGTGTGCGAACAAAGACTCCTACGCAGAGCTGCCATGTCACATTCTGCACAACAGCTCTGCCCCAGGTGTGTAACTGAACCAAATCCAGACATATGCCACCAAATTAGTTTGAAGGGAAAGACAAAGGAATTTTACATATAGATCATGCGGTACATAACATCACAAATAACCAAATATTAAGCCTGTCTAAACATTCTTTTTTCTGCGTAGTAAACCTTTATGGCTGCGTTCACTGTTGTTTCCATGGACATAGTGAATAAACAAGGCTGTACAGACTGGGTTTGGTGCTAATTGATTTTATGAGCTACAGTACCTAGCTACAATGTTCTGCTAATTATTTGGCAACATAATACCATACATCAGGGGTCAGCAATTAAGTTTGGCCTCGGGCCAGATATTTTCCAAGCCATTACATGGCGGGCCACAACCAAAACAATGGCTAATTTAATGAATTAATAGGGGAGGAGGGGTGATAGTGAAAATGATAGGTGCTCTTGAAATGACAGAGCAGACGCACTGAGACATTCAAGCGGGCTGATGTAGGTTACATTTGTGGACTGACCACTAGGGGGCAGTAGCGCGCCCCAGTGGTATAATTAGTAGCAATTATATGCCTGTTAAAAAAAAACATTTCCTGTTGCTGTTAGCTATCGAAAAATGGCACTATCAAAAAATCTCAAGAGAAAAATTAACAGCGAAAACAGGATCTTTCATGATGAATGGACAGAGAACTATGCCTTCATCCTCCCCAGTTTTATTAATGCAAAACCCACATGTCTGATCTGTAACGAGGGTGTCTCTGCATGCAAAGAGTACAATATTAGACGGCACCACGAAACGAAGCATGCTAATTTCAGGGTTGCGTTCCCTCAGAAGACAGAGGCACGAAAGCGTAAAATCGAAGCCCTGACAGGTGCTTATGCACACAGCACCAGGATCCTGGTGCGAGGCCTCACATCCCAACAGAAGGTAACTAGTGCGTCTCTGAAAGCGTCCTGGGTGCTCGCAAAGCACAACAAGCCATTCACTGACGCAGAGGTCTTCAAGGAGATGATGGTGACAGTTTTGGAGGAACTTGATACCAACAAGTCGATGGATGATGTGATCGGGTCAGTGAAACAGATGTCGCTCTCTGCGAGGTCCGCTGCCCGCCGCATAGAAGCGCTGTCTGATGCGGTGCTGGGTGCAATTATCGACGGTGTCAGTCACGCAAACTACTTTTCCTTAGCCATTGATGAGAGCACTGACAACACAGATGTAGCCCAGTTGTGCATTTATGTGAGATACTTTGATGGGAAGGATTTCAAGGAAGAGTTGCTGTCTCTTATTCCATTAGAAGGGCACACCACTGGAGATGCTATATTTGCGAAACTGGAAGAGTTGTTTCAGTTGCATTCATTATCATTTGAGAGGGTTAACCTAATTGTGACAGACGGGGCTCCTGCTATGGTGGGAAAGCACAGAGGTCTGGTGAGCAGGCTGAAAGAACTCGCCCCCCAAATGCACGGGCTGCACTGCCTCATCCACCAAAGTGTCCTCTGTGCCAGACTGAATGGCGAGCTAAAGAATGTTATGGACAAAGTGATGAAAGTCATTAACTTTGTCAGAGGTACAACAAGCACCCAGCATAGGCTTTTCAGACAACTTGTGGCTGAGTCAGCAGATGCCGCCCACGATGACTTGCTGCTTCACAATGATGTGCGCTGGTTAAGCAAGGGGAAAGCACTGGATCGCTTCTGTGCGCTACTGAATGAGATCAAAGCGTTCCTTGGAATGAGCAAGAGCAAGGCAGCAGCTGACCACCTTATCCTGCTGGAAGATGAAAAGTTCATGTCCAATGTAGCGTTTTTATCTGACATATTTGGCCACCTAAACCTGCTTAACCTTCAGCTACAGGGGGAGAGACAAAACCATCGTGGACATGGTTGAAAAACTGGAGTCATTCACGAGGAAGCTTGAGATGCTTGAGGCAGACATATCTACCGGCAGGCTCCTACATTTCAGCACACTGAAGAAGACAGCGGGAGAAGTGACGGAGTTGATGGTTGACTTCATCAAGAGGCTACGAGCCAACTTCACTTCTCGGTTTGATGACTACTCCATCCCAAAAGACATCATTGACTTTATACGTGACCCTGCAGTAAAACCAGCCGACAACTTCTCCTTCCTGGCGAAAGAAATGATCTCCTCTTTGGATCAGGCTGCGCTGGAAATGGAAATTATTGACTTCCAAACCACCTCAGTTGTGCGAGATGCGCTCAGAAGTGCGGAGTCCGTGAGTGCCTTTTGGGTAGGCCTACTATGCTCCGAGGAATACAGCAACCTCAAG